AGCTATAAAAAATTAAATCCTTCATTGCCTCTTCTGCATGTGTTATGTATGCTTGTTTCAAGTGGTTTTGATGTATGTCTCTCAACCTTTGAAAATAAGCTTTAAATTTGTTAACTTACCTGAACACATCTAACTATCATCATTAGTAAATCTGAAGTATTCTGAAAAGTGAGATTAAGTGCTCTGAAAGCTCTCATGCGGGAGAGGTTTTCAGAAGTCTCTAGTTCAGAAAGGAGACTAGAGACCTGTAAAAATGAGGTTTCTTTTGTAGTACCTAAAAAGAAAAATGACCCCAAATGACTTATCATGCTTTTAAAAAGCATTGCATCAGTAAATTCTATGCATCAATTAACATGGGAAGCTGTTTTTAAAGAGACTGTTGAATTCCTAATACTTGCAGTTACCAGCTGCCAGTTAGATATTAGTCATTCTCATAAGTCCATACAAACAAATTGCTTACTAGAATCAACAGCAATCTGAATTTTCTCTGAGCTGGTTATTGGGACAGCATCGAAAGACAGTTGGTTAAAAAACTTAGTGATCTGGTCAGCTAATAATACTTAAAGGTAAAAGGTACTATATGCACTGAAAGCATTTGAAGGCAACTTGCAATCCATTAGTTGACTCTTAGAGAATCCATACAGAGCAAGCATTGCCATCTTCATTGTATAAACTGAGAGAAGTTACTGTCTCCGTAGTAGAGAAACCTGATTTCCTCTGAGTTCTGTTCTTTTTTGATTTGCTAATTACATGTCAGTTGCTCTAACTTCTCACTGCTGGAAAGTATTTAGGGAAGATTAATATCGTGGTGTTTGGACAACTAACTTTGTTAACGCACTTCATATTAACATGCTCAATATGCAATTTTAACTGCTTTTGAAAACATCCTGTCAGATGAAAAGTTACATTGGTTTTGGTCTAATTAGAGGGAAATGATTAAATGTGGACCGCAGCTGATACTTCACCGTGACCTTATTTTCTGCATCTTTATTTGGAGTGGAGAGGGAAAGCAAGGAGTAGGAGTCCTGTTTCTTCTAGACAGACCGACCACTGCAACAAATTCAGGGGTGGACAGCAGAACAATGTGAAGTTGTTAAAGCCTTCCTGAAAGCTGGTGGATAGGTAGAGAAAAGGTAGCAGCTTTTTTTAGTGGAGGCACAATGTGATTTGATCTTTAATATAGGGCACCAAAACCATGCTGAGGGGGGCTGGTCAGGAAGGGAGTAGTATCTCCTAACTGATAGGAAAACTTCAGTGGGAATTTGTGAGTTCTTGTGCACCAAACAAACCTGCAAATTTGTGGGGGGAGGGGAAGAACCCACCAAAACCCTAACAACCTTAATTTAGATGCTTTCAGCACCAGCTGTTAATAATCTATGCATTAAACATTTCATGTTACTTTTTAGAAAATGATCTGTCCTGAGAAAATGTATTACTTTTCCTCTAATTTGATAAGTGATTTTTTTTAATTATAGAAATGTTTCCTTACCTCCTTTCCTATTAAATTGCAAAAGATGTGTTTTTGCATCATTTTCAGTTTGCGTTTGCTAACTACTAGTGTTTCAGGTTTGTGAATTTCATATCACCACCCAAGGTTCACTTACAAAAACCATATCCAGGCTGTAGGGTTCTTACAGGTTTCTCTTTTAAAGATCTGCACTCCAACTCCAGTCCAGGTGCCAGTGATCCACTAGAATTCTACATAGAAAATGCTACTCAAGTATTTTCAAAACAGTCATTTCTGTACATGCAAGCAAAGTGACAGAAGGAAGAAGGAAT